TAGACAGTGTTCCTCTATGGGCACTTTGTCTGGTTTACTTTCCCCCTCTGTCCATTATTGACTCAAGATGTAGTTACAGCATTCATTTGCAGTTGTACGTTTGGCTGTCTACCCATGCATTCATTCCCGTTAAAGGTTATTAACAGTTCTCTTTATAAAATGGATTTTATCATATGTGAAATATTGTGTGTGATACACTCCTTTTAGAAGATCAAATTAAGAAAGAACTGTAAATTTGTCTCCCCTCTGATATAAAATGGCGTAGACAGATGGTAGAAGCACCCCAACTGGTATCTGGGAAGCATTGGTTGAAGACACGACAAAGATGAAATTCTCCATATCAGACTTAGTTTAGATACAGTTTGTCCCCGAGGATAAATTCGTACCTTACACTCGTATCAGTCAAATTTGTGATATTTCATTTTCATTCAACCGCTTTTGAAGATCCTTGACTCGAACGATCAACCCGCTTTAGTTGCGGACATATTTTGTTTTATTGCTTAGGAGATGTTTTTTCCACCTAGTTTTTGGCTAAACTTTAGACAATACCTCTTTGATAGAACTAATTCGAAAACGTATCTCGTAAATAACAATTTGTATTTATATTGTTCGTTTTTGTGGCGGGATTTTAATTGAATTGAATAACTGGCACGTAGCTTCGAAGCACTGTCTTTCTGATTGGAAAAATAGCAATTTTATTGCCTTCTTAGAGGATCTCAATGGCGTTTACCGTTAGCCGTAACACGGCAAAACAAAAAAAATTAGCAGTGAGGCGTAAAAATTGACAAATTTTAAGTGTTAGTCCGCATAAAAAAGGTAACCTAGTGTTAACTACTAAGTTGAAAACGTAAATTGGCCACCGGAAAGATTTAAAAGGCTGATGTTTCAAGCATTAGCTCTTTGTCATCACTCTGACGAAGGGCTAACGCTCGAAACGCCGGCTTTTTAACCCTTTACGGTGGCCAATTTACGTTTTCAACTCAGTTGTTAACACTTAATTACCTGCTATACTCTCCCACCGACGCAACACCACAGTTTCTTTAGAAACTTACCCCCTTTACGCGTAAAACAAGTTAACCGTAAAAATTTATTCATCTGATCACAATGGAAAGAAATTAACCGATAGCCGTAAAATGAGCAACATCTTGACCGTTCGCCGTAAAATGTATTACCCGATTGAGACCCCCGTTACTGCTTAATGATAAAATCCATTAGTTTTTTTTTTTAATATAATCCTGAAAAATAAAAATAACATCAGATATATGCTTTAAAAAATCACAAATCGTTCAAAGCAGTTTGAATTAAAGATAGTATTAGTTTCAAGCGATATGCGATTAAATCATAGAATTTTAATCTACTCGTTCTGTTTTTTGCTAAAACGGAGAATCTTTTTTTCTCCCGACGACAAGGGAAGAGGAAAATATTGGAACAAATCAAATTGGGAAAGATTGGAACAAATCAAATTGGATAAGTTTGAGCAGAAACAAATAAACAAACTGGAGAAAAACAATTTTAATTAGCTTTAAAAATGTCTTATTTCCACAAAGTGTATTTTGTCAGCTGGTTTTCCTCTGAACAATATGTGTAATAGTTATTGTAAAAATTAACAGTCTAGCTTATGTTTTAGAGCGTGATGATTGTCGTAATAAATATAATTACGCTGGATTCGAGTCGCAATTTTTGATTGGGAGGTACCTAACACATAAGGATAACTTTAAATTTAAAAATGGAATAATCATTATTGGGTAATGTTTAAAACAAGATGAGGAGGGGTAGGTGGAAAAATTCATGTCATCATCATCATCATCATGTAAAAATCAACTTCATGTTGATCTTGCCTCAAAGTTGCAATTTGGTCATCTACCCGACAATAGTTTCTGTTAAGACAGAAATATTTTCCCCAAGTTTTTGTTTAATTTTTCTCTTCGTATCCTTGTTTTTATTCCAACTCTAGAAACATAGCTATCAGTGAGGATGATGACTCACTTAAAATAGTGCCATAAGTGTTTAT